AAAACCGGAAGTGGCGCTGTAGCTCAAGTGGTAGAGCGCTCGCCTTGAGCTGAAGAGCTGAGGGACAGCGCCCAGGCCCAGAGTTCAAGCCCCACGACCGCCAAAAAATAAAATAAAATAAAAAAAAAATAAAAAAAAAAGTTACTCAAAACTAGATGCAATAGATTTTTGACTTTCAAAAACACTTCACTGAGCCTTTCCTAAAGTTGTATGTAAACTCTTCTCCAGCTCCAAGAAATCAATGTTAGTGACAACTGTTTTCCAAATAATTAAGACAAGTTCCCTACTGTTTTAAAAAAGTACTTAGTCCTGTGAGTCTCCAGACAAAACTGTTTTAATCAGCTGAGTCTTTTTTCTTTTGTAGGTGCCAGCATTGGGGCTTGACTTCATACTTGAGCTTTGTCACTCAAGGTTTTTTCACTCTACCACTTGGGCCACAGCTCCACTTCTGGCCTTTTGCTGGAGATAAGAGTCTTTCAGATTTCTCTGCCCAGGATAGCTTCAAACTCAGATCCTCAAATTATCAGTGTGAGTCACCAGTACCGTTCAAAATGAGGCCTTTTTACCAGCAATTAGACGTTTACTCCAGTCCACCTCCAAAGAATTGTTATAGTTCAGAGTCCTTTTGCTTTGAACAATACCTCCACCTTGTGGATGGATACCTATCATGCCGTTAAGATCACGTCTGCTGTAGTGTACACTTTGAATTTTATTTTATAATGTCCCTGAAAAAACTATTAGTCATAAAGGTTCAGACTCCTTCCCCCTTCCATTATTATTACCTTTTTGGAGCTGTACACAATGTGGCACAATATGCATTTTCGTTCCCGTACCATAGTGATCAGATCTGAAGCACTCAACGTCATACCTGCAATGAGGACGTAACATTTAGTAACCCTTCCCTCATAGAAACGTTTAATTCATCTTAACATGGCCAATAATGTAGGGCCACTCTACTCCGCCCCCAGGTTTTGCATCTCAATAAATGGAAATGCCAATTTTCCAGGAGTCTAAGCTGACTTTGAGAGTCACCCTGGCTCCCTTTCACATCCCATTAGCCTCTCTCATCAGCAAACCTTGAGTCCTACTTTATTCCAACTACCTCTCCCATAGCCTCTGCCTATGACCTGACTCCCTGGTGTCTACTGTTCCCTTGCAGTCTATTCTAGAAACTTTAACTCAAGATTCTCAAAATAGGATGTTTTTCAAATTCAGTTAGATCATTTTATTCCTTGGCTGGGAATCTCTCAATGGCTTCCTAACTTACTTACAAAACTCCAAGCCCCTGTCATCACCAACAGTCCTGTTCTCATTTCCTGTCCCTCCTGTCCACTGTCCCACTATTATTCCTTCTCAGGCACACTGCTCTCCTGCTATTCCTTCATCACAGGATTCTCACACCTTAGGGCTCTACACTGCCTGTTCTCTCTTCCTGGAATATTCACTAAGATTTCCTTATGGCTTTCATGGCTCACATTCTCATTTCTATCAGGTGTGTAGGGGATGCCTTAATGGGGAGGCCTTCTCTGAACCCCTATAATTTTTTATATTGTCTACCGTTCCTCACTATTCTTACTCCCTCTTTACCTCCTTATGGTCTGCATAGCTCCTGAGTCAGTCACATTTTCCATAAATGGCCAAAACAATACTGTGATTTTGCCACCACCTGCCTAAGACATGTCTTTCCCCTCCTGTCACTGAGCATCCATATAGTGACAGAGTACCATGCCAACCATGAGTGAGCCATGAGCCTTCTGGAGGTTTCTAAATTGATTAAATCTTCCTGAGTAATTGGCTTCTTAACCATTAGAGAATGATCTCATTATGTCTGGCAATACTTTTTTATTGGGGGCTGGAGTTTGAACTTGGGTTCCATGCTGGGTTCTGTCCCTTAGCTTTTTCAATCAAGACTAGCCCTCTTAACACTTGAGCCACAGCTCCACTTCTGGCTTTTATTTGTCATTGTTGGTTAATTAGAGATAAGATTCTCATAGACTGTCTTGCTAGACTGGCTTTGAATCATGACTCTCAGATCTCAGCCTCCTGTGTAGCTGGGATTACATTACAGGCAAGAGCCAACAACACTTCTGGCAATACTATTTATTTTAAAGTCTATTTTATCCGATATTTCTTACACTTATTGCTTGTGCAGCTATCAGCACTATTCATCTCCATAACTAATTTTGTCCTAAGAAAGTGAAACTCTGCATCCATTAAATAATAATTTCCCATCTCCTCTTCTCTACCCTGGCAACCAAGTTCTACTTTCCATCTCTATGATTCTATCTTCCACAAATATTCTAAGCCCATACGTTGACTATATATATATATTATAAAAAATCCCAATGGTTGCAATACACATATCCTTTTGTAACCATTTCTTTTTCATTTTGGAGATCACTGAATATTAGCACATACACAGCTGGCTTATTCTTCCTAACAATTAAAAAGAATCACCTGAAATGTTTTGACAGTCTTTTTTTTTAAGCTGTAGGGAGGTTTGAACTCAAGGCCTTGAGCTGACTAGGCTGGTGCTCTATCACACTTCCTTCCTTGCTTTTTTGGCTGGTTTATTTTAACTTATCTGCCCAGTCTGGCCTGGATCCTTAATCCTCCAAATCTTAGCCTCCTGAGTAGCTAAAATTAACACGTATGATCAGCCACTATTGCCTAGCTTTGATGTCTCCTTTAGATTTTTTTTTTCTTCTTTCTTTTTTCTTTTGTTAGTCAGTCGTGGGGCTTCAACTCTAGGCCTGGCCACTGTCCCTGAGCTCTTCAGCTCAAGGAGTACACTCTACCACTTGGAGCCAGAGCCACTTCTGGTTTTCTGGTGGTTAATTGGAGATAAGCGTCTCATACTTTCCTGCCTGGGCTGGCTTTGAAGGTCGATTCTCAGATCTCAGCCTCCTGAGTAGCTAGGATTACAGGCATGAGCCATAGGCTCCCAGGTCTCCTTTAGATTTTTAAAAAGGGGTGGGGAGGGTTTCAACAGGGGATAGAGCACTTGCCAATAAAGTATAAGGCACTGAGTTCAAAGCTCAATTCCATCAAATAAACAGAGATCATGCAAAAGAAAACCATAAAAAACTACAAGTTTTCAAACAGCAATTCAATCAACATGCTAAATATGTAATTAAGGGTTCTCATAAGTAACCTGTTTGTCTAGGTGCTTTTATTCACTGGCTATACAAATGAATCTCATTTTTCATTGTTAATCTAAATGTAAAACACAATATTATAACCCTCACAGATCCCAGAACCAAGTCTACTGACAACCACTGTTTCTTGCTTTTCTTTAGGCTATATCTGCCCTAATCTAGATGTATAGCAATCACCACTTTTTCCTTTTTCTTTTTTTAGTCGGTTGTGTAGCTTTAACTCAAGGCCTGGGTGCTGTCCCAAGACTAACACTCTACCACTTTGAGCCACTGCACCACTTCCAGTTTTTGAGTGATTAATTAGAGATTAGTCTCTTGGGGACTTTTCTGCCTGGGCTGGCTTTGAACCATGATCCTCAGATCCCAGCCCCTCCTGAGGAGCCATCAACAGCCAGGAGCCACTAGCACCTGGCCACCACTTTTTCCTCTTTAAATGTGTGTGTGTGTGTGCATGTGTGTGCTAGCACGTGCGCCAATACTGAAGCTTGAATTCAGGACCTAGGGACTGTCCCTTAGCTGTTTCTACTCCAGGCTGGTACTCTACCACTTGAGCCATAGTTCTTTTTCTTGTGTTTCGTGTGTTAACTGGGTATAAGAATCTCACAAGGGGGCTGGGAAGGTGGCTCAGTGGTAGAGCACTTGCCTTGCATGCCTGAGGCCCTGTGTTCGATTCCTCAGCACCACATAAGCAAAAACGAAAAAAGCCAGAAGTGGCACTGTGGCTCAAGTGGTAGAGCGCTAGCCTTGAGCTGAAGAGCTGAGGGACAGTGCCTAGGCCCAGATTTCAGGCTCCACAACCCGACCCAAAAAAAAAAAAAAAAAAAGAATCTCACAAGGGCTGAGAAGGTGGCTCAGTGGTAGAGTGCTTGCCTTGCATGCATGAGGCCCTGGGTTCAATTCCTCAGCACCACATAAGCATAAAAAGCCGAAAGTGGCCCTGTGGCTCAAGTGGTAGAGCGCTAGCCTTGAGCTAAAGAGCTGAGGGACAGCGCCCAGACTCAGAGTTCAGGCCCCACAACCGACAAAAAAAAAAAAAAAAGAATCACAAATTTCCTGACCAACCGAGCTGTCTTCAAACTACAATCTTCAGATCTCAACCTCCTAAGGAGGTAGGATTATAGGTGTGAGCCACTGGTGCCCAAATGTTAATGGATTCTAAACCAGCCAGGTCGGATTCTTTCACATTTTCCCCAGGCCATTTTGAAATTCTCTTTAAAAACTACTTAAGGCTGGGGGGCAGGGACATGGCTCAAAGTAAGAAGTCTCGGGTTCAAACGCTAGTATCATAAAAACAAAAGGAAAATAAATCAAAGAGCCAGGCACTGGTGGCTCACTCCTGTAATCTATCTACTCTGGAGGCTGAGATAGGTTCAAAGCCAGCCAAGGCAGGCAAGTCCATGAAACTCTTACCTCCAAGTAACCACCCCCAAAAAATAACAACCACAAAAAAAAAAGCTAGAAGTGGAGGTGTAAATTAAGTGGCAAAAGTGCTAGCCTAGGGCAAAAAAAGCTCAAGCACCTGGATCAATGTGTTCACATGCACTCAAGCATGCACGTGCACACACGTGTGCACACGTACACACACACACACACACACACACACACACACACACACACAAACGGAGCTCCCAGAACCTGGCATCACCACAGAGCAAAGCCACCTACTCAGGAGGTTCAGGAGGTAGTAGTAGAATCACAAATTCCAAGCCAGTTTGAACAAAGGCAGAGGAGAACCTATTTCTAAATCAAAATACAAACAAAAGGGCTAGGGGTGTGGCTCCTGTGAAAGAGTACTGTACTTTAAACTGAAGGCTTCAATTCCTTCAATCCCCTTTACCCGAAGGAAAAACAAAGTTCCTAAAGCCAGGAGTAATGGCTTACACACCTAATCTCAGTATTGGAAAATGAAGCAAAAGGATCTTGAATTCAAGGCCAGTATGGGCTGAGTTCTCAGCCAGCCTGAGTTGTGTATTTGTGTGTGTGTGTGTGTGTGTGTGTGTGTGTGTGTGCTTCTCCTACCATTCTCAGATTGCACTCTAGAAACTTTTTTTTTTTTGGGTCCAGTCGTGGGGCCTGAACTCTGGGCCTGGGCGCTGTCCCTCAGCTCTTCAGCTCAAGGCTAGCGCTCTACCACTTGAGCCACAGTGCCACTCCCGGCTTTTTTCTTTTTGCTTATGTGGTGCTGAGGAATCAAACCCAGGGCCTCATGCATGCAAGGCAAACGTTCTACCACTGAGCCACCTTCCCAGCCCCTAGAAACTATTTTAACAGTTTGCTTTCTCGGTACAAGTACTTAGAATACCTAACATCCACATCAGTGTAACAGAAAAAAAGGTGAGCTTCGGCAGTATATTAGATTAATTTGACCAATTACTCTAGCAAGATAAGCAGAATCTCAAAGACCTCAACTGAAATATGCTGCCAGAACCCCCCCCCAAAAAAAAACCCACCTATCATCCATTACAAGATCTCATTAAAGTTCTGTGACACACACCTGAGTGTACTGGCACATGTGTAGTACCTGACAAGTCCCAAGTTTCATTCTGAGCCAAACTTGACTTCAGAGCTTAAAACAAATTGTAAGATTTCCCATAGAATTGATAACCATGCCTAAACTCTTTACCTAGCAACCTTAAATCAACTCATGAAGCCATTACCGTGGATAAAGCAACTCATTTGCTAGGAAAGAAGAAAACTTTTTTTTTCTTCTTCCTTCCATTTCCTGTAGTTCATTTCGATAAATAGTATTTTGTACGATCAGAATGGTATAGGCCTTACGTCTTTGTGTTCCTACGAGTATCCTCCCAGGGAAAACAAACAAAAACAAAACTTCTTGTAACTATAAAGGTTGACAACCTCAAGTGGACGGGTAAAATCTCCAACTTCACGATCACTGAGAGAGAATGTATGAACCAGATTGAAGGGAAAGAACATTTCCTCTCTGGAATCGCTCCCCGAGAGTGGTGCTAACTATTAGAAAATGCACACACGGGAAACGCTCCATAATTAGTTGCTATGAAGAGACGACGTATCCCACCACCGACGAGTGAGGATGAGAAGAAAATGGGGGGGGGGTAGGTGGGGGAAGGAAAAGAATGGAGATTGTCAGTCGAATGGTCTGAAACCCACCATCACTTGAAAGTACTAGGGTCCCGGGGTTCCCCAGCGCCCACACACACACACCCCACACACATGCATCCAGCCCAGAGGAGGAGGAGGAGGCCCGGAGTCGCCTCAGCGACCTCCCCGCGGAAGTCCCGGCTTCGGGGCCGCGCTCCCTCCGGAGGCCGTGTGTGAGGAGCCGGAACGCCCCCGAGGATCCGTAACCCGCGGCCACACGCGCCCGCCCGCCGGGAGTAAAACTCCGCGCACGAGGGAGACGGACGTGGGTTCCCCGCGTCGCGGCCTGCGGGAGCGCCCCGACCTCCCTCCCCCCCCCCCCCCCCCCCGCGTCGCGGCCTGCGGGAGCGCCCCGACCTCCCTCCCGCACCCTCCCCCCCGCACGGCCCCGCAGCCTCACCCCTGCACCTCAGGACAGACCGCCACGCCGGGCGCGTCCCCGCAGGCCGGCCCCTCCACACTCACATTCACAGCCGACCCTTCTTCTTACTCCATCAGGCCTCCCGAGAGTCCCGGCGAGGAGGCTCCCCCCGGAGACACCCCTCTCGCCTTTTTCTGGGTCCCGCGGCCCGCCCGGGACCCGCTCCCCCACACCTCGCTTCCCTCTTCCCTCTCCCCGCTCCCCCGCCGGGCACTGAGGCCGCCGCCACCAGTGCGCAGGCGCACACTGCCGCCGCCGCGTCGTCGCGCTCCTCCCGCCTCCTACCCCGCCCTTTTCAAAGACTTTTAACTTTATTTGAACACCAGAGGGTGAACAATGGACAACAGGGGAAGAAGCTTTCCGCAAAAGGAATGGAGGAAGTGGAAGGCCTGCCACACCTCGCCTGGGGTCGAACCTTTTTCCATTCGCCTTGCTCTTTCTGACCTCCACCCTCTCTCTCTCTAGTTTCTACTCTTTTCCCAAGTCTCTCATTATTGGCAGTCACTTTTATTTTGACTACATTTCCGAACCACCCCTCCCTTGTGAAATTTCCTGGAGTTGGCTGCAAAGGTACAAGAGTTTAGCACTGACAGACCTTGAGTAAAAATGTTAACCCTAGGGCCTGGGAAGGTGACTCAGTAGTAGAGTGCTTGCCTTGCATGCATGAGGCCCTGGGTTCGATTCCTCAGCACCACAGAAGCAGAAAAAGCCAGAAGTGGCTCTGTGGCTCAAATGGTAGAGTGCTAACCTCGAGCTGAAGAGCTGAGGGACAGCGCCCAGGCCCAGAGTTCAGGCCGCACAACTGACCAAAAAAAAAAGAGTTAACCCTAGCTGGTAATTTTTGCCTTTGGTTAAATTACAAATTATTGTGAACCTTCAGCTTTGTAAGTGAAAAAAAAAATTAAGGTAATACCATCTTAATTCACAAGATGTTGTTAGGATTCATGAGACCAGACATTTCATAAATACTAGTGATTATATTCTTACCCAAGATATCTCTTTATTACTAAACCTAGCCCATTCCCTGGGAACCCTATTTCAGTGACTAAGACTAGTCAGACAAAGTTACTTTAAGATTAATAATGAAGGCTGGGAAGGTGGCTCAGTGGTAGAGCGCTTGCCTTGCAATGCATGAGGCCCTGGGTTCGATTCCTCAGCACCACATAAGCAAAAAGAAAAAAGCCGGAAGTGGCTCTGTGGCTCAAGTGGTAGCGCGCTAGCCTTGAGCTGAAGAGCTGAGGGACAGCGCCCAGGCCCAGAGTTCAGGCCCCATAACCGGACCCAAAAAAAAAAAAAAGATTAATAATGATGTGAACATACAGTTGAGACTCAAATGTTTCACTAGAACTTCAATGCTCCAGATCAAAATAAGCAGCTACGTCTATCCATGCATGTGTAAAGTCAGGTTGCCTTCCGGAGGTTTAGAAAACTCTTCCAATTCTGTATTTGTGACATCACAAGTCCTTGGACCACTCAAGTGAGGTCTATGGTATGCTGCTTAGTCCACTCTCTTGTACAGGCATGCACCAGAAGTGCATGAGCCTATAAGCTCAGGGCCATAGTAAGGCCTATAGAAAACCAAGGTCAGATGTTGGTGAGCACCAAGGTAACCCTAGATCAACGTTCCTCCACCTTTAAGACATTGTTTGGAGAAGGTAATTCTTTATTGTCAACAGCTCTCCTGTGATAAGATGTTTACCAGCATCTCTGGACACTCAGTGCCAGTACTACTCCATGTGCTCTCCTTATCATCAAAGTAATAAAAAATGTCTCCAGACTTTGCCAACTATTCTCCGAAGGATTAAGTTGTCCCTGTTTGAGAACTATGATATTATATCCATGATTGGCCTAACACCAAAGGAACCCACCTCTACCATCAAGAACTGGTTACTGCTTGGGAAAACTACACAGGAGAAGAGAAATTGGTGAGTGTGTTGCTACCAGTCTTTTTTTTTTGCCGGTCATGGGGCCTGAACTCTGGGTCTGGGCGTTGTCCCTCAGCTCTTCAGCTCAAGGCTAGTGCTCTACCACTGGAGCCACAGCACCACTTCCGGCTTTTTTCTTTTTGCTTATGTGGTGTTGAGGAATTGAACACAGGGCCTCATGCTTGCAAGGCATGCACTCGACTGCTGAGCCACCTTCCCAGCCCCACTACCAGTCTTAAATAGATCCTTAACCCTGCTGGCCAATACTACTGCTTTTCTCTGCTACATTTGTTCTATTACTTTCCAGCTCAGTATTCCAAATCCTGTCAGCTTCCTTAAAATCTCCAACACCACCATTGTCTCTTTATACTTTTGTGGTACCTAGAGATTGCACTAACACTTGAATTATGTTCCCAAGCCCTCTCTTCCTCACCCCCTTTTTTTTCCCCTAGGGCTAGAACTCAGGGCTTGGACACTAAACTTGAGCTTACTTGTTCAAGAATAGTGCCCTACTGTTTGAGCTACAGCCCCACTTCCTTTTTTTATGTTTTAATTTTTGTAGTTAATTGGAGAGAAGAGTCCCAGGGACTTTCCTGCTTGGGCTAGCTTTGAACTGTGATTTTCAGATCTCAGCCTCCTCAGTAGCTAGGATTATTCAAGAAACCCAGCTCCTCTCCCTTTTTTGAGATAGGTTCTTATTGACTTTTTCTGGCTGACCTCAAATTCCAAGTCCTCTTATTTCTACCTCCTAAGGGTACACCACCACAGGTTGCTTTACCTCTTTTTTAGTGAGCAGATGACTTGTTTCCTATTTCATAGAGAATTTTAACTTCCTGTTACTAATCCTCCAAGCTACCAATACTTCCTCTCACAACGATGGAGGAACTTTCATTTCTCTTCTACCACCATTACTTTCACCAGGACATTCAATTGCCAATGTTTTTACCCTCTCAAGATCTTTATCGACTTTTTCTTTTTCTTTCCTTCTCTTTCCTTCCTTCTTTCTTTTTTTCCTTTTTTTCTTTCTTTCTTCCTTTGTTTTCTGAGGCTTCAACCCAGTGCCTTGAGCTTGCTAGACAGGCACTCTACCACTTGAGCGCTGCTCCCAGCCCTTTTTGCTTCTAATTACTTTTTGGATAGAGGATTTTGTACTTTTTGTCCAGAGTTGATCCCAGACCAAGATCTTCCTACCTACAACCTCCTGTCTTGTGTGTGTGTGGGGGGGGTCATAAATGTACACAATACCCAGCTTATTTTGTTGAGGCCTGAGCCACTATATTCAACTCACTGCTAGCTAGCTAGCTTGCTTGCTTCCTTCCTTCCTGGGGCTTGAATTCTGGGCCTGGGTGCTGTCCCTGAGCTCTTCAGCTCAAGGCTAGCGCTCTACCACTTGAGCCACAGTGCCACTTCTGGTTTTCTGGTGGTTTATTGGAGAT